TTCTCTCACAACCAACATTTTTAACAAAGAAATAATATATATCTGTACATCAAAACATTACTCTCCTATGTACGTTTTATTAGTCCAGTTTTCAACCATCCGATAGTCGACAACAAAAGTTAAAAATTACCGATAAATTAACATCAAAGTTTTCTACCCACAACGCTTTATTATACTCACATAAATTCATAAAATGTGAGAGCCATTTGAGAAAAATATCAGGTTTCAATCTTAATCTTTCCCAATCCAATCTCATAACAAATTAACCCAAACCATATTTTAATTTACAATATTTTGAAACCTGAAAACACTGGTTGAGCCCACCCCTCCGATTATTCGATAAGCCTTAAAAACATCGATTCACCGGTCATCGATGTTCCTGCAGTCCGCTTTCCCACCTCTATCGCCCAACGAATTTGCATAAAAAACTTTCAGCGAACCACAAGCGCGCACGGCGTTACCGATTCTGGCGCAGTTTGCTAACTTTTCCGTATTAATTCGTCCTGTGAAATTGAGTTGCATCTGGCATATCCACTTTTGGAGAGCTGGTGGAAACGGAAAACGCAGTTTCCTATCGACAACGACAACGAGCGCTCGAGAAGTCGTCCTTTGAACTGCGAATACAAGTGTTTTGTTTGTTGTCCGCGCCGCTCGTCGTGATAAGCACGTCTTATTTACCGTTGCGAATGTGAAACCGAAAGTAAAATCCGCAAGCTGCAGGAACTGTAAATTATGTAAAAGTATTTGGCCAACAACAAGTCGTTCTGTGCATGAGTATGAGTGCGTGCGTTGAGTAAGCTTATCAGAAAAGTTTAATGGAGGCTGCGCCGGTAATTTCTTTTCACCACCCCAGTCTGCAGCAACAACAACTGCACGTGGCGAACAACAAAAGCAACTGTAAATAACCGCTGCCCTTTGATGAGCGCCCAATTAAAAAGCGTAAGTCGACGCACATTGCATATCATTGTTGCATCGTTGTAATATATGCATGTAGGTACACGTGTGCATACATACGTACCTACATCGCTATGTTGCCCTCACCTTGCCCTCGTCATCTTGCTTTTTGGCACTTCGCCAAGAAATTAACCCCATTAAGCCGATGAGTTTTCAGCAGATGCAGTTATTCGTACCCCAGATCAGGGATGTTTATGTTTCTGAAAACTGAATGTTTTCCTAAAGAATGTTTCGCTGTTCTTCTCACATTTCAAAGCTATAAAGAAATCAAGTGTTCATTACATTTTAGAATGACAGAAATTGTGATAAGATGTAAAATAAAAGTATAAGTATATACATTTAAAAAGTTAATATTCTTAAACGGATAAGTATAGCTCACAATCGTCATTCCCATACTTTGGCATATTATGAAAAAATTACATAGTATCAAATTGTACCCCTAAAACTATTTCGTATAGGCTCGATATCCAATTAGCATTGAATTCATACCATGTGTAGTGCATGCAATTACCAACCATTTAAATTGTATTTTTTGGAAAGCAAAAAAACCAATGCAATCCAAATGCTCTTGAACTTCGCTCTGTCCATTTTGGGAGGATGGCTGAACATACATATATAAGTCGTTTGAGTAAAGAAGCTTTTACTTTACAACATTTCAAAGTTAACTTTTGTCTTAATTAGATTTGTGATAATGTATTGATGAAATATCCTAAAACATTAGGAATATTTTAACTAATATTAATATTAGTAATATAATAATAATAATTAATAATATTAGTAATAATTAGTGTATTCTGCTAAAAAATATTAAAGCAAATACTCCTCTTCTGTATTCTACATTAAACTAGGAAACTAGCTCTGATTCACCCTCAGCAAAATCCAAAAATATTATAATATTAGTAATAATATTAATATTAGGGAGCCTGCATAATAAAACTGTGTTTACCTACAGTAACCAAAATTCTACAATATAAAATATTTTGAATAATATATTTGATTAGAATTCCTCATTCATAGGAGGATACTAAATCCTTTTTGAGAGCATGCTGAATAAAACTGACTTTACTTAAAGTAACAAAGATCAAGCACACGATAAATTAACAATTCTACGATGCCTTCTTTCACTTTTAATCAACAGGCCACCCAACAATGTTGACAACGGGAATCAACAGCCATAATGAAGAAGACGAGATAAACAAATAAATGCTCAATAGGCCAATTCCGTGGCAAGTCAAAGAATCGAACGATGGTTTAGTGCCAAACGCAGTGTAATAGACCAACACTCTGCCACTCGGCTAAAAAGGAAAGCCAATAGCCTTCAGACTGGAGGCCTCACTCACTTTAAAGCGCATCTTTGCCCGCAAAATTGGCTACAAGGCGAAGTCAAAGTCAATTTTAGCGGCCATGCGCACGAAACACCTGATCTTGATACTGATCGGAGTGATAATCGCCACGATCGTTTTCATCGCTTTTGGTCCAGCCGGAGAGCCTAACGACTCATTCAAGAACATCGTAGTCCAGACGCACCAGCAGTTCAAAGAGTTCCAGGTGAGTTGACTTACGTTTGGGGGTCTTGAGTTCCGGGCACTGATACTGAATGACTTAGATAAGGGTATTAAATACCAATTATCTGGCGCTGGTGCGTTGAAACTGTCACAGATAAATCGGAAAAACTGAAACCCGCGTGCGCTGTTTGTCATTTGTTGTTTCTTAGTTTCGAAGCGCTTGAACTTATCGCCATGGTGTAGCTTAAAAAGCCATGATTCATAGTTTTTACTATCAGTAGATAGTGAAGTGCCTATGTATATCCACGACTTTTCTGGCAATTGCTTTTGGCAAAGTCTGGCTCTTGACATCACACTTGGCCTTGACCTGTGTTGTTCCGCCCCCCGGCAACAACCAACATGTTACTTATTTTCCTCACAATGTGCTCTTAGCAAAATTAAGGCACGTCCTATTGGTCGGGCCGAAAGCTAGATACGCCAGGCTGTCTGGCAAATTTGGCCAAATCAAACAGCCGGCAGTCACCCGAAAGTCATCAGCATCACTCACATAAGACGAGCGGGTGTTGACCAGTTTCGGGCTTATTTCGGAACACTTTTGGCCGTGCTGGCTGTGTTTACGTTTCGCTTGCCAGAGCATTTACTGTTTACACTAATTAGATTCCGGTCGGAGTCCGGTTGCACAGCACGAAATGCTTTTGGGTAACCAGAGGGGACTGCGGTTACCCACTGCTCCTAGACCTTGCTAGGGGATTTCTCGCGGCTCAGGAAAACTTTTTAGATTGCAAAGAAAGATTCGTCACCTTGCATTGCATGTGTAGCTAAGCAAAGTGGGTTCTTCTCCCATCGCGTACTCCTAGAGCCAAATTTAATAGAGCCGTAAAAAAAATCTTTGCTTCGAAGTTTACAACTGGCTGTTATCTCAGCCAGGTAAACAGAAACCTACCATGTTGCTGTCATGAAAAGCTGAGATAATGGAAGCATTAATTAGTAATGCCGCTGTTTTGAAGGGATAAACTTATCTTATAAAAATCATTCTCCACCCGACGGTGGATATACATACGTTCGCATATAAAGCTACGATCCACGCATATAAAGCTACTTTGTTTGTAAACCAGTTCCCACAATTGCAACAAATTATGCATTGTTCGTAAGTAGCTGAAAATGCATTCTTTACCTAACTGGTTTGCACCAGTACTGCTATACCTATACTACTGCAGTTCCTATACACATTTAACTCGAACTACGATATGTGTTTGATAACATTGCACTTCATACTTATGTATATAGGCTAGCATATAGAACTACTATTAAAGTGATTGAGTGGATTGCCAGCACTTGATGCATGTCGAACACTTCCAGCAAGTGACCAGGAGAATGTGAATACACAATTATTTCTCTGACTAAGACATGTTCATAGCACAGCTATGGTTTTTTCCATTAGCATTCTATTATGAACTATATATAATATTTTTAAAACCGTGCTTATGTATTAATAACTACTCCTGAGGCTTCCTAAAAGTAGTATCAAATTTCAATGTAGAAATACGAGTATAGCTAAAGACCACCCTTAGGTCATATTGTGAAGGCTCGATTCGTGGGAATCAAACAGGTGCTGGGATTGAATAAAACAATTTGAATTTAAACTGTGGGCAAACGAAACTGCTATATGAGTCAAGCTGAAATTTATTTAGTCAATTAGCCAATTATGGAATATATCTAGAAAATTGCTGAATATTTTTTTTTATAATTTCAAATAATAATGCTGTCCTACTTGTGACAAATTGTGTCAACTTTCTCAATGGCCGGCATTAATCGATGATTCAAATAACACAGAATACCGCAGGCATTATCAATGCGCTTGCACAGCGATTACCCATATTTCATATTTAGCTTCGTGTGGAGTAAACAGGCGCTATTGATTCCCTATAGCCATCGGTTCAATGTCGAACCGCCACTCACCTGCAGAGTAATGCAATAAAATTGTAGATGAACGATAACCTATTTAAATGATCCATAAAGCGGCTAGAAAAATATGGAAGCCGACTGACCTCTCGACTTTTAATTAACATGAATAAGTCGTATGTAGGTTTTCTGTAATTCGACTAATTTTTTGAGGTGGGGGCTTTGAGGTTGGACGTAAATGAATTAAAGTAATTAAAGAAGTCGATGTATTTTTTTGTTTATTTAAGCTATAACGAAATATTAATATTTTTGTGTGTTAATTGTTGGGATCCCTTTTACAAATAGGCATTCTCATTCTAATTGCTAGTTAAGCAATGATGAAATCTTTCTAGCTAATGCCCCAATTTCATCCATGTACATCACAGGAAACAGTTCTCGAAGATGGGCGAAACTGGTATGCAGTTCGGAGCTGCAAAGGCGGCCATTACCGCGATCAAAAGACTCTCTGAATCCAGGAAATCTCTAAAATCTAAAATCCATGCATGAGAGCGCATTTAAATTTCTAAATCCGGTCAGAAAAACTTGCCACCTTAGGAATTATAAGTCAATATTGATACAATTTTTAATAGCAAGGCGTGCTCTTAAAGTTGCCAAATGAGTCATGAACAATTTATGTTGTATGCGTATTAAGAATGGCAATAGATATCAAGGTAATTTAAAGAGCTAGCTGCGATAAGACTTGAACCCAAAATCATTCCACTTGTAATGTTGGTCAAACCAAAAGGAAACCAGCGAGTCCAGTGCATGGTCAAATATTTAAATTGGCATCGTAATCAGCGTGGCTCGTTTTTATGATTGCTCTGGCCCATCGCCATCACCCTTTCGAATAGCCTGGCACTCCCCAGCGGCCATTAGGCACATGCGACCGTTTCGGAGTCACGCGCCGTGCTACATGGACACACACAACTGGACTTCTTGGGACAAGGTTTAACTGCCGACTTTCTGGCGCTGTGCTGAAGAACATAAAGGAATTTGGTGGGAATTTTAAGTGGTGCCGCCTAGGCGTATAGAAAACGCGACTGGGATAGGCTCCTTCGAAAGGGGTTCGTGGTTAGTTTGTGACTTCGATTTTTTCCTAGCTTCGCATGGCGGCAACAAATTCGTTGAAGGAGATCTTTCCATCTTTATCCAGATCAATGTCCTGGAATAACTCGCGCAAATCATCTTCGGACATCTTCTCGCCCAGGTTGGTCATCACCATTCTGATTTCGTTAATCGTAAAGCTGTTCACTTCGTTCCGATCAAAGATCTTAAAGGCCTGCTTCAGGCACACCAGACTGTTCTGCTCCTCCAGTCGCTTGGCCATCACGTATAGGAAGTCCTTGAACTGTACCTGGCCACCAAAGTCCACGTCGCTTTCGTTTGCCAGTTCATAAATCTCTGCCTCGGTGAGACTCTCTCCAAGGGCCCGCATTACTCCGCCGAGCTGTCGGACGGAAACCCATCCTGACTTTCCCGTGTCATACAGACTGAATGCTTCTCGGATCTCTTCGATCTGGGCATCGGTCAAACTGCCCATTTTTTAAAGGTAATTTTTGTTTTGTTTTTTGTATTGGAACAATTGAGTGTTTTTGTTTTAGTGAACTCCTTCAACAATGAACAGAGAATATTTACTGAAAGCCGACAAAACGCCTACTGGGGGAAAAATATATTATAATCATACAATTTGTAAATAAGAATTTCAAAAGAATGATTAAAATATGGTTACAAAATTGTAGGGGGGAGTGAAACCTGTTATTAACCCACAATTAAGCTGTTTAGATAATATCATCCCTTTTGTGGGATCGAAATCAAGCTACCCTACAATACTCACTTGCAGGCTAACGCATTGTCATCATGTTAACAAACTCCTCGTAATTGATGTGGTTGTCCTGGTCCAGATCGTACTCGCGTATCATTTCATCCAACTCCTCGTCGCTAGGCTTCACGCCCAGCGCAGTGAACACATTTTTTAACTCGGTGGAGGTAATGTAGCCGTTGTTCTCCTTGTCGAAAATCCGGAAAGCTTCGCGCAACTCTTCCTCGTGGCTTGTGTCGCGCATCTTGCGCAGGATCACATTGCAGAACTCCGGAGCCTCGATGGATCCGTTTCCCTCCGAGTCCACCTCATTGATCATTGACTGAACCTCGGCGTCGTTGGGCTGGCGACCCAGGGCGCGAATCACCACCGCCATCTCTTTAGAAGTTATAGCGCCCTCGTTCTCCTTGTCCAAAATGCGGAAGGTGTCAAGGATAAGGATTTGCTCCTCATGTGTAATATCTTCCATCTTAACTGGTATTGTATAGTTTATTGGTAGAGTTTCTGTATATTTCTGTTTTTAAGTGTCAACTGATGTTTTGCCCAAACAAGGCTCCTGACACTGAATTCAGTTCTTACTCAGTGGCAAAGCGGTGAAATGTGAAAAATGGTAAAATTAACATCCCCCGGTGGCGTCACTGTGCTGCAGAGTGCACAACACCGAATGGCACAAAATCAATATGCTTGTTATATAAGCGCAGTGCCTCACGGAAAGAGTTGAGTGATTCTCCAATGTCCTTGGGTCAGGAGGCCGTGCAGCTGATCGGTTTCAATTGCGACTCAGCAACATACATACGTCAGCTAGTATCTTTCGTTGTTCGTTAACAAAACAGAAGGAGAGCGCATTTCGAGGAAAGTTCAGGAGTAAAAAGTGCACTATCACAGTCATCGCCCAACGCACACTCAAAAAAAGTTACAGCAAGAAATTTGTATAAGCAACGTAGAACGCTATGTTTGTATTCATTTATTTGTAAGTTGCTTTATATTTGTATAGTTTCTTGGTAGAATTTCTGTATATTTCTGTTTTTAAGTTTGGGCAAAACATCAGTTGGCACTTAAAAACAGATATGTACAGAAATTCTACCAAGAAACTATTCAAAAGGATGATTAATATAATATAATATAATATAATATTGCATACTATCTTACTATTTAAAGGCGAAACACTGCTTTTTTTTTAGTGTACTGCCATGCAAGTGTAGTGGTTGCTATCGGTAGAGCAAGGTTGTCATGCGATTTGGGTTTGGCGCCTAGCCTGAAGCTTTGTCGGCTGCCTTTTGCCGCAGGTTAATTCCAGCGTTTCTCCCCTTCGGCCCTTTCACCTGTGCGCAGTGGGGCACACCTGACACCAGTTATTGGCTGGCGGAGGAGGGGCAGTGCCTGGGGGCAGAGAATGTGGCACGCTTTACTCTGGCCACAGTAAAACAAATAATAGACAAGAATTTGACATCGGCACGAGAGGGTTCCATTGTGCGGCTCATTTGATTTTTGCGTTGTGTTTGGGTATTTGTTTGGGCTAGTTTCTGCGGAACAGAGGAAGTGTGCTAGAGGGCCATAATGGAAATATGTCTTACATGTGTGTTTCAGAATTGCTCCTATGACGAGGCAAATTCTGGTCATATTTTTTGACCATTAACGCCATCTGGCCTGACATAAATAATTTTCTAAGAATGAGTTTTGGGAGCCGTTTGCCGAAAGTTAAATTATAAACATTAGATTATTTGTTGGATAAACCAAAAATATTATTTTTATGAAAATGTAATTTGTTTCTTTCAGGAGAATCTTCGAGTTGGCTTGGAACGCAAGAAGCTCGAAATAGACCCAAAGTATTTGCTTCTTCTGGGCTTTACCTCGCCAAATGACGCTGCAGGCCAACAGCAGCAGCTGGATCAGCAAAACGTGGCGGACATCGGGTCATCAGGTCAGCTGCCAAAGACAGATTTTTCAGCGCCGGCTACAAAAGCGGAACTGGAGCTCAGCGAACTGCGGGGACTGCGGCGTCCACAGGATGCTGTTACCTTCGGTAGTCAGTCGGGAGATCAAAAGGGCCAGCGGAAGCGGATCACGACGCCGTACAACGGTACAAAAAGCAACTTCACAATCGTCAGTTATGTGCTTGAGGGCCAGGTCGCATCGGCCATCCTGCTCGCCCAGAATATTGCCGCAAAGCTTCCCAGCGAGTACCTGCTAATCTACGATTTGGGCGTTTCCGAGGAGCAACTACGGGATTTGGGCTCCTACTGTAATAACAGCCGATGCTCGGTGATCACATATGATCTGTCGGAGTTTCCCTCCTTTGTCGCTGATCAGCGGACGCACGCCTACCGTCCCATTGTAATTAAGGACGGTCTTATGCGTGCCCGATCGGTTCTCTTTTTAGAAAACTATATGCGTGTGCGCGGAGGTTCCGCCCAGCTGCGAAATCTACAGAGCATCGTTATGAATCCAGGAGCGAGAAAAGCTGGAGTCAAGTCCGCTGGTATCCTTGGATGGAACACAGCGACGGCAGTATCCTCTCTGACGCATCCAAAAATGTTCGACTACTTTGAGTCGAAAGCTGAGGAGTTTAACTTTCTTCGGATGGTTGACCTGGACGCTGTTTTTTTCTCGGGCAGTTCCTTAGTGACTGAGAAGATCATGCTTCCCTGGCTGAAGTGCTGTCTCACCCTTGAGTGCATCGATCCAATCGGTGAGTCGGCGATGGGTGGTGGCTTCGGTATATGGAAAACTGTCATTAGAAATGTTCATCATACTGACCCCAATATAAATCAATCAAACATACGTTCAAACCACCACCCCAATCACTCCTTTGGGGATGGACTGGTGTACTAATAACAGTCATTTGCACGGCATTCCGTTGATGGCACTCACATCAGGGAAATTTATGTAATTACCATCTGAATTGGGATTGATGGCAAACGTGACACTGCCTTTTTAACGAACAATTCATTTTTATTTGACCGGCATTTCCCAAACTAAGTAGTCAACAATACTCACTTTTTAGTTGCATAGGTGAAATTATAATAGAAATAAGCGTTCATTTCCTTGAATTCATCTAAAATGAACTCTGTGTTCACTCCTGTCACTTCTACGAATTAAACACAGAGCTCATTTTCAATTGGTTTATCCAAACAAAGAGAATGCTAATTTCTTATTTAATTAGTTATCTCGAATACGTTATATACAGTCAAATGCTCATTTCTGCTTTTCATTGATTTAGTACATTTGTAGAAGATTCACATACTTCATGGTCGACAAATGTTCTGTTAAGTATCAAAGATATTAGAAAATATTCCGTTCATTCGTTGCTCGGCTTCAAAAAGTGTGTGATAACATCGTGATAGTATTTTTGTCACATTGAGTGCCTTGTAAGCCCTAAAAATTTCTTGTGTGTAGTTATCAAACCGGAGGGGAGATTTAAGGTTCTCATAGGTTTCGGAAATGATTTTGGGGTAACGAGAATAAAAATGGGTATCTTTGTTAACGCACACATTTCTGTGTTGCGGGTAATAATCGCTTTGACTGGATTTAGTTTTGGAGATCGATTCCCTTTTTCCAGAAACATCTGGAGCTTTACATTTTCTGTTCTTAAGATTATCCATGTAATATTGTCGTTGATTCAAGAAATTTCTTTTCATTGCCATTTCCATAACCAAAGGTGATATTTTTTCTTTCTTATATTTTTGCATAGTATTGCAAATTTCACACTCGTTTTCAGTCTGTGTACCTGCGTCAGATTGGGGAACGAAAAATCTTTTAGAGCGTTTCTTTCTTCGATGATTAAGGGGTTGTAGTTTCTCTTCGGCCAAGGGAACAACATTTACTTGATAATCATCGTAAGTCAAGAAGTCGAAGGGCGAATCTCTGCCGTCTGAAATCAACTGTGCTGCATTCGCCCTGGACTGATTTATTCTTTTAATCGACGCAAATGTTCTATTTAATTTTTCAGAAATCTCATAGCCCAACGGCGAAACAGATTCCTCAAAGTAATCAAAGTGTTCACTCTTCATATGTCTTAAAGTCTCTAATCGATTTAGTTGCTCTAAAAGTTCTGACTTTGAGCTAATTTTCTTGTCACTGAGTCTGTTTACGTTAAGGAATATGTTAGTAGCAGTTTCTCTAGTGAAAGTCCTCAGATTCTTGTCCATAGTACGGAAGGCTTTGCGGTTAGAAATAATTTCTGCCTCCCTTGGTGAGTGTGTTCTGGAATCATTGATAGCGTCTTGTTTTGAAACTTTCCCCCTCTTGAGATGCTTGAAACCATAATCGTAGACTTTTAGTCCTTTGCCTAGCTTAAAATGAAATCCTTTGTACCGGGATTTTGTCATCTTAACTTCCTTTGTTCTGTTGCTCTTTGCTAGTGTCTTCGATGGTTCAGGAAATGATGGTTTTTCGCGTTTTATTGCTCTTTTTTGAAACTTGTACTTTAATAGATCTCTGTACTCGGTTTGCAAATTAATGGCGCTTCGGGATAACTTCTTTAAAATCGTTCTGTGCATTTTTTTCGTCATCTTTTTAGGATTTCTTATACCTTTAAACTCACCCAGCTCCCGCAGAACTGGAACCACTTCAATCAGTTTATTTTCGATTTCATTTCTCCTTTGTTTTTGATGTTGTAAGGATAATTTGAAGAGTTTCGATTTGTTTATGATGTCCCTCTTGTACATTTTCTTAGGCTTTCGATGAAATTGACTTCTTTTCTTAAGATTTTTGGACTGTTTTTTAGTAAAGACATATCTGCTAATTAGTCCATTAAGAAACTGTTTAAGTCCTAAGACAGGTAACCTTGCTGTAGGTACCGGACGAATAGTTAGCGGTTTGATCTTGTATTTTTTGGTTTTAGTTGACTTAATTGGAAAAAATTTCTTATTATTAATCTTCCTCCGCTCACTAAATTGCTTTCCCCTCACTCTAGGGACAATTCTCTTTGATTTTGAATTTAACTTCAACTGCTGCTTGTAAGGGGTATACATGCGTGCAAGCTGGCTAATGTGAGTCTTGAAGCTCCTCCACTTCGGAATCTTCGTATCTTGCAAGTGCAGGCCCCCTTTAGGATCACCCAAAGGTGTGGCAAGATGTGTTAATTTTCCTTTCACTGGTTTCGGGGGTTCTTTAATGATTCTTAAGACTTTTTCTGATCCAGCGTTTATTCTAGTCCTGCTAAAATATTTGCCGGACTGCCTTAAGATTTTATGCGTAGACGCAAGCTCTTGATTAGGCGTTGATTTTGATAGGCCTTGAAAAAGTAGTGGCATGTTTTGAGATAGAATGGCTTTATTAAAGAATTTTGACAGGTAATACTAAATCGAAAAATAAACAATTTTCATGCCAACTAAGATTCCATCAGCAAACCTCGGTTCTGAAGCATTCGCGGAACATGCGAACAGCCTCCACAATTTTGCTGAAGAAGAGCATCTTCATCAGTCGCCACATTCCCGTAGGCAGATCGCAGTGTATGTTGCAAGCTGCATAGACGAACTCATCGGGTCCGATGTTGTAGCCATGTCGACCGCACAGCATGTAGTGGGTGTCGTAGATAATGTACCACGCCTCTACGGTGCAGGACATTGCTGAGAAGACCTCCATCATCCTGTTCAATCGGTAGGCCAGCAGGAGAAACAACCCAAAGATGAGGCAGATTATGGAAATACCGCGAATCTGAGTAAACCGAAATCGCTCCTGGGAGGAGTACAGTATCAGGCCCAAGATTTCAAAAATCAGAATGGCTGGGTAAATATATACCTGTAATACAAAGCACTAGTATCCAAGTATGTACAAGATAAATGCATTGGCTTTTTAGTCAAAGTATTTGAATTAAAATTTTGCAACGAAGCAGAGTTTTTTAATTTATATTCATGATTATTCACTTTAACCAAATGTGTTGATCCTAATTGAGTAATTCTGACTTACCCAATGTGTCTCCACCAGATTGAGTAGATATAAGCTCCTATTAAAGGATCCGATCACTGTGCTCAGAAGCAGTACAAAGTAGTTGAAAGGCCAATGTCTTCTCCAATCTCTCCAAACGTAAAAACACGTATACAGAAACACAGTGAATACCATGGATACTGGCATCACAAAGTAGTAAGGCAGAGGATATTTGAGAAACAACTCCAGGCAGGGCAAGGTACAGGCCACCTGTAGCTGCAATATTGAGTTTACTCTATTACATTTTATATTTAAAATGGAACCTGGATAACCTACAATTAGTATGCCATAGAATCGGCGCACTAGGCGCCGTCGTAGGCCAATATCGCTTATGTCGAATTCATAAGTCCTTTGCAAATAACTGTTGGGCAACAGCAGGTCACATTGCACAGCGATGCCCGGGACTTCCGATTTTTCCATTACCAATACCACGTCCATTTCATCATCATACAGAAGTGACACTACCGCCGCCTAATGCCCATTTATATTTTCCTATTTGATAAGGCCAGTTTTCCAGTTAATCGTTTATCTAATTTACCCCATTTACCACTCCACACCACACAAAAAAAAAATGTTAAAATAATTCGATTATATATTGATTAGCCATTATTAGCAGACTTCCTTTTTATGAATTCTGTGCTGTGTAAAAGAGCTCAGTGAAATGTTCATAGAAATTATTGATTTAAATTGATTTACTGTTTTACTCATATATCTGAGTGGTAGATATGTCCAATACCCGATATCCAATAAGACTCGACTATACATTTCCTTCATGTTTATTTTTAGGATGCTTGATGTGTAGCATAGGAAAAATGGGAGTTTCGACTTTCATTCTTACAATCTATGTACCTTAGCGGGGCAAAATAAATAATAATATAATAATAGTTTCGTTTTATTGCTAGGTGCCCAATCGAATGGCTGCAAGTTCAACAAGAAGCCCATGTTCCGGTACTCTGGATGCCACGGCTACGATGCGTCCGCCTTCAACATCGTGTTGGGCCTCACTTTCCAAATGGACACTTCTGAATACTCGCTGCCCGGCGACAGTCCGCGAAACATTTTCTACAAGGAGACCCTGGAGCAGGCCACCCGTATACTGGAGAGCAGGCGGCGCAATAGCAGCGAGACATCTGACCATCCGTTTACGGACGACTGAATTGGGAAACCTAAAATTCGAGCTGGACGAGAGCGTGGCCAAAGCATTTGATATAACTTTTTCTACTGATACCCCACAAGCAGATACACTCAGGAGCCAACGGAGATTACTAGGTATTTCGAAGGAAATGAGAGTTCTTGATATGAATTAGATAATGGGTAGCCAATTCCCGATTCCCACTTAAGCAGATGTAAACAGATCAATTGGCGTCCACGAAAAGATCAGAAATGAACAGAACGCAGTACAGTAATTAGGCGTGGCGTAAAAATGCGCAGTTTATCAATACTTACAACAATTTTGTGCAGCACTAATTACTTATTTAATAAAATATATTATGTCCCCGTGATTTTGCTGCGAGAGTCGATAATTGTAAAAACCTCTCTTTAGTTAACTGTCCCAAATGTAAATACATCAAAACATCAAATGGCATACATTTTGTGATTGTATTTTATAGTTACTCACGCGTAGACAAACATATACAGTATATAAATATAAATGTAATGTAACTATCATAGAACAAGACGAGCCAAAAAGTAAGTTAATAAAATTCTGAATTACGAATATCAAATAACAGATAAAGCTTTGGTTTGTTAACGGCACTTTTTGACATTTTTTGTAAAGCTGCATGTGGTTATGTTTAACAAGAAGAAAGGCATACGTTATTTTCAAGAGCTGTGACTACGACTAGCTCTGCTAATAAAATTTCTCTAAAATTCGAAGGATATATATGAATATGCGAATTACATCGACGTACAGAGTGAGAGCTGCAAACACGTATTCCTCGGGATCCATCTGGTCCAAACGATTGCCGCCCACTATCGACTGCATATCGCAGATTAATAAGAAGCAGCCAATAAAAGTGCATAGACAAACTATTGGCAAGCTGTCTACGAAATCTGGCATGAAAAATTCACACACTGATAGAACGAGGAGGATTATCACAAAGGTTAATATGACCCCTCTCTCAGCGGTGTAATCGTACTTGGTTTGCACGGCGTAGATGCTAAGAGCGATGACAAGGACTGTGGTAATAGCCACGGCCGAGATTACAACGTTAGAATCCATTAGGCTCGATAAGGTTCCCAAGAGCACCGACATGGTGAAGGTATAAAGAGTCAGGCAAATCAGGTTGACGGGATGCTTTCGCCTCACGTCCTGTACATAAAACATTGTGATCACAACGATTATGTTGACGATAAAGGCGACCAAAACTAAGAGGAAGTTTTCCTGTATGAATTCCTTGGTCGGTTGATGGTAAACAAATATTGCTACCACAGCCAATGTGAATAGTAATTGGACCTGCAAGAATCACATTTGTATTTATAAAATGTTACACTGAGCAGATCTAGCTCACCAAAAGGATTCCAAAAACCTTTCTGACGAATCCCATTCGAATAGTGGGATCCTCGAATACATTGCTTTTAACAATTAGATCATGGGAAATAATCCCACTTTCGATCAATTGATCGCCATCTTTTAGATAAGAATTTGTGGATTGGGACTCGTCTTCTGTAGGAGGCGCTGACAATGAAATTGTTGGGTAATGGTCAGAGTTTTCGGGAAATGGGAGAAAATTAAACAACGCTGAATAAAAATATATGTACATTTGCGCAACGTATGTAGATGGAATGCAGTTGTAGATACAATCATGGTAAGCCCATTGAAGGGGATTGTGCTTACAAATCGATAATGCCAGCTAACTTGAATAAATCATTCACTTGGAATACTAAAATTTTCTTGCAACAAAAAATTCAAGCATATGCAAGGCAGCGAGATCTTAAGAAATAAAGAATTTTTTCGTGACCCTCTAGTACCCCGGCCATCTGTTATACGTCACATCATTTCCGGTGGTCGAAGTGGTCCTACTCGAAAAATTGTTAGAAAAATTATTGCAATTAAATAATTAAATTAAAATCTTAGACTTTGCCAGATTGTTTTTGGCATATACATATGTCAGTATAAAATTATAAATGTATCTTTTTTCATATCATACACAAGAATCGAAGAAGAAGCTGATTCATTTTCTTGCAATTCCATACGTAAATCTTCTTCATTGACCAAGAAACATTCGCTTACAGCATACTTCAAGTTTTTAAAACATTTAAAATATACATATATTTTGAAATACTTTGAATGTAAATTAATTTATCGAAAGAGTCCCAATTAGAAGATGAGACATGAAACAAATTTCATATTTATATAAATGATATATGTATGTGCTAGCACATACACATGCAGAAATAAATGGCTTATAAATCTTAATACATATTATATTATTAATTCTATTATTAACTACAAGAACTTACCGTACAGTGAAACCTTATCTAGGAATCCTGTTTCGCCTTTAGGTGAATCCATGACCGCGACTGGTCTATTTCCAAGGATGACTGGCAATCTTAAGAGCCAAACTGGGAACCAATAAGAAAAATAATTAGTGTATGTATCCGTATCTCAGAAAACTGAAGAAAAGCGTAAGGAATGGAAACTGAGATGCCGGTTTTATTTCGGGTCAGCGGTGCCAGATTTTTCGCGAAAGGCGCGAAAAGCGGCTGAATTTCGCATGTGGTGACTTAAGCAACTGCTTTCATACCTACATTGTATGTACATAGGTGCAATATATGTATACTCACCATCGTTTGGTCAATATCACTTCAGTTCACAAAAGCCACCGGCGCATGAAGTCGGACTTAAACGGGTTCAGTCAGCCAAAAGTAAAAGTTACCTGCCCGCTTGTGAGAGCAATTGTGCGATAATGAGCGTAATTACGTTATTGATCAAGACTTTGTTTGTGCTCGGATTGGCCGTGCTTTTGGGACCAGGAAGGGTGGCTGCCTACGATCCTAATGATCCCAAGATAGCCGAGTGCTGCCTGCCGCCAGAGGGGATGTTCGAGGCCTTTTACCCCCGTGAGGTGGAGGGAATCCCCAATAGCGCCTCGCGACCCGCGCACGGGCATGGCAGTTTCTTCAAGCACCGGAACCCAGCGCTGGTGGACACCAAGAACGCGGCGGCCTATGGCTATAGATTCGATGGCAAGAGGCGTTTCAATTTTGATTAGTTCCGGCCATAATATCTGTATTATTCGCAAATAAAATCCCTTTCTGAAAACGTTAAAACAATTTATTTTTTCAACGGTAAATCAAACCGCCAGCGATCTGGCAACCCTGCTATGCACGCATCCCTAAATTTCCATTTCCGTGTGACTGACACTTATGTCTAGAGCAGAAGAAGAAGAAGTCAACATTTTTTTCTTCGAAATTCATTCGTTTAAAAGCGTAAAAAAAATGTGTTTCTGAATCAAATTCAAATATAATTCACATAATTCTGTAAATACCGTTACAAAAGCCAAATCACCAACACATGATGAACGGGCGCAGCATCGGCATGCTGAAAATGCTCAGGCACACCTGGCGCACGTAAGAATCTCGCGGGGTGGTGAAAAGTGGGCTGTTATGGAGCCGGCGAATCTAATAAGTGCCATGTACCTAAACACAATGCAGGTTTCCACGACGCATGGCCACCAAGGTGACCAGTCTGGGCGGCGACGAGGTGGGCAGTGGCACCGGGATAGGCCAGATAACCGGCGGCGTACGTACAAGTGATGGGACACAGAAGGTGAACACGCCTTCCAAGGAGATTGTCACCAACCTGCCTCCCCTCACCGACCCACTGCCCAACCTGCCGGAGGCCGTTTACGCAGCTCCACTGGCGGAGAGTGCTATTACGAAAGTAACGACGCTGCCGAACGGTCTGCGGATCGCTTCAGAACCGCGGTACGGGCAGTTCTGTACTGTGGGCCTGGTTATCGACTCTGGCCCGCGCTACGAAGTAGCGTACCCTAGCGGCGTTTCGCACTTTCTTGAAAAGCTAGCCTTTAATGTGAGTGAAGTTGCGCTTATGTAATGTAGGATCTCATCTAACTCGGCTACCCATTCCAAAGTCTACAGTAAACTTTCCCAACAAGGACGCCATTCTTAAGGAGCTGGAGAAGAACGGTGGCATTTGCGACTGCCAGAGCTCGCGGGACACGCTCATTTATGCCGCCAGCATCGACAGTCGGGCCATTGATTCCGTAACGCGCCTGCTGGCAGACGTCACCTTGCGGCCCACACTTTGCGACCAGGAGGTGAGTCTGGCCAGGCGTGCTGTTAACTTTGAGTTGGAGACTCTGGGCATGCGGCCGGAGCAGGAGCCCATACTGATGGACATGATCCACGCAGCAGCATTCAGGGACAATACTTTGGGCCTGCCTAAGCTATGTCCACTTGAGAACCTGGACCACATAAACCGGGAGGTGCTAATGAACTATCTTAAGTACCATCACTCCCCTACGCGCATGGTCATCGCTGGTGTGGGCGTAAGTCTACCAAATCACTTCTGAATATTTCAATTCAAGAATAACATTACAGGTGGATCACGATGAGCTGGTTAACCATGTGCAAAGATACTTTGTGGAGGACAAAGCCATCTGGGAGACGGAAGCCTTGGCGGACTCTGGACCCAAGCAAGTAGATACGTCTATTGCGCAATACACTGGCGGATTAGTAAAGGTGGGTGCAATAATACTTTGACAAATTCTTTAACAAACATCAATTGTCCATAGGAACAATGCGAAATCCCAATCTATGCGGCCGCTGGGTTACCAGAGCTAGCCCACGTAGTCCTCGGATTCGAGGGCTGTTCCCACCAGGACAAGGACTTCGTTCCCCTGTGCGTCCTGAATATAATGATGGGTGGTGGTGGATCCTTCTCCGCCGGCGGTCCTGGCAAGGGCATGTACTCGCGCCTGTATACCAAGGTGCTAAACCGCTATCACTGGATGTACAGCGCCACGGCCTACAATCATGCTTACGCCGACACTGGGCTCTTCTGTGTTCACGGTAGCGCACCGCCACAGCACATGAACGACATGGTCGAGGTGTTGACCCGCGAGATGATGGGCATGGCCGCGGAGCCAGGCCGTGAAGAGCTTATGCGCTCAAAGATCCAACTTCAGTCCATGTTGCTGATGAACCTAGAGTCGAGACCTGTTGTGTTCGAGGACGTGGGACGCCAAGTACTGGTAACGGGGCAGCGAAAACGCCCGCAGCATTTTATCAAGGAAATTGGTAAAAGCATCTATGACTCAATCAATGCATATCAATTAACTCGTCATTTAATTTTGCAGAAAGTGTTACTGCTGCCGACATCCAACGCGTTGCCCAACGTCTCCTGAGCTCCCCGCCTTCTGTAGCCGCGCGCGGCGACATCCACAATCTTCCCGAAATGAGCCATATAACCAACGCGGTTAGTGGTGCAGGGCGTTCCGGACTGGGACGTCGGCTTTCCTTGTTCAAATAACGCTGGGTGTGAGACTGCCAGCATCGGATATCATTTCGCTTTGTTCACAATATTGTACGAAGGGCAACCGTGTTAAGTTTAAATTGGCTAAAATATTTACCAAAATTCGACTTGGTTATTTTTTTTTTGCTTTTTTTGTTTTGATTAGGAAAAAACGCCAGAGACAAAGTAATCTTTGCTTAGAAAGTTAAATACCCTGGTAGGAAAGGGGAAATTTTTTTTAAGGACAATATTTGAAGCATCAAAATAATGGTATTTTTTATATTGTCGCTTTATTAAGATAACCCATAACATTTTCACGCCGTCCCTACAATACTCTTACTAAACTTGGGACCCTACTTCTATAGCATCCACGAAGCTGTTTATCCCAATGAAGTTTGCGAAGATACTGAGGAACTATTCTTTAATCGTCGTTTGCACTTCGGAGCAGATATTGATCCATCGCTATCACTACTGCTGTTGCTGCTGCTGCTGCTGCTATTCCCACTTCTGTTGCTTTTTAAGGGCACTAGAAACGAAGAAGTTACCTATAGAGCTTTTTATCACTGCACACTGAATCTATTAACTTACTTGTTGGGCTCTTGGGAGCAGTGCTTTCAAATTCTTCGTCTTCCGGCAACTCGTCGCTTGAAATGTTCTCGTGCATGCGATATTGCTTAGGAAGATGGCTCTCATCCTGAAGCGGAGCCGCATATTTGGGCCGCTTGATCTTTTCCTCTTGGTGCTGCCGATCACTTTCGTTGTCCAACTCGTTGCCCGTTTGTTTCTTTATGCTCTTGGCGATCACGCGCTTTTGGTGATCCAGCTGGGGAAACAGGTCTCTCGAATTCTCGAGCGCCTGCTTAGCAGCGTTCATCTCTGCCTGTTGAATTGAGGAGCCACTTGAAGTGGCCAGCCGCTTTGAGCGGAAATAAACGGCCACCTTATATACCCGCGTATTGGTTGGACCACTGGCCTCCACCACCTTGTAGTAGGGGATGTCCGGCTCGCCGCCATCCATTGTGCGAAGGGTGAGGCAGCACTGCTGCAGCTTTGACTTAGGATCGTTCCAGTCCTGATTCATGATAAACAACTGAAGTCGCGGGAACAAACATACGTGGCAAAACTGCTCGCAATACAAGAGACCCTTGTCCACGTACAGGGCGCCGAGGAAGGCCTCCAGAAGATCAGCACGATCTTTAGTCTTCAAATCAGCCTTGGGATTGGCATACACGGCATATTTAGGCATTCCCAAATCATCGCAGACCACCGCTTGTGTGCGGTTATTGACCAATGAGGAGCGTAGCAGGGACAAGTGACCCTCGTGGTGCTCAGGGAAGTGACGATACAGGTACTCCGAGCAAATAAGCTGCAGCACCGTGTCGCCCAAGAACTCTAGTCGCTGATTGGACCCAAGGGTCAAGTGGGTAAATCCAATGGAACGATCGGTAAAAGCACGAGCCAAAAGTCGAATGTGCTTAAACTTGATTCCAATTGAGTCCTCGAATTTAGTTAACTCCTTAAGCACCCGGTAGGAATCAATACAACTGCGATCCCCAAGTGGCTCTTGTTCCTGTAACGGGTGTTCCGGCAGATTCTTCCAGATACTCAGTAGTTTTTCATCCTGCCGGAAGAGGGCATCTGTGAACACCTCATCTGCCACCTTGATTCCTCCATCCAGCAGAAGAGCACCCATTAGAGCTTCAAAACAGTTGGCCATGGCGTGGCGCAGTTCCAACTCGTGGCACAGGTCGGATCCGTGTGCGTACAGCATAAATTCTTCCAGTTGTAGCTTTTTGGCCAACAGTGCCAAGTGCTGGTTTTGGACAATTGCCGCCCGATAAGTGGCCAAACCACCCTCCTCCAGTTCGGGGAACATAAAAAATAGATGGATCGAGCTTAGGAATTCTACCACAGCATCACCGAGGAACTCCAGTCTCTCGTTGTGGGTTATGTTCGAAACAGTTTCATGATCCTTACCAAATCGGGACATAATGCTCACTAAGGTATTTATTCCCCGCTTCCGTGTGTTCATGTAGTGAATCTTGCGATCTCCGTACTCCGGCTGTCGAATTCCGCAGTTCGTCAGTGAGTTTCGGGCATGATCCGGATTGGTACCGTAGTTCTCCTTATAGGAGGGATGCGTCAGCGCCAATTGGAGGAGATACCGATTTTTAAATCGGTATCCAATACTCTCCTCTAGCAAGTCAAGTGACTTGTGAAAGCGAAGGTGACCTGTTAGGACAGGAATCAACATGGCATGCTGCACAACATCGCACATAATGCCAGTGCGATAGAAGCCCTCTGAACTGATCGCCACAGTGATATTACGTTTCATGCGCCCTTGAGTTCGCATTTCCTGAAGGCGCTGCTCCTTCTCCTCTAACTTGCGCTTGTCCTTGAAAGAGGGCTTCGACATGTTGGCCATAAGATGACGGAACTTAACGTACTCTCGCCACGCTTTCTGGTACTCTGGATTTCCCGCGTAGCTTAGCTGCGGCGGACGAATGCCGAAGTGCACGATCGCCGGGTGTGAGATTCCAGTCTCGCGATCTACGCACTCGGGCAAATCGGAGTTATTCCTGTCCAGTTGGTCAACACGGAGCGAACACGGCTTATAACCCGGCTTTGTGACCAGCATTCCCTTTATGAAGTCCACGTAGTTTTGCCACTCGCTCTGACTAATCTGGTTAAGATGCAGCAGCTGCTGACGTTCCACTAGCTGTGCGGAATTGTCCAGCAAGTAGCGGAGTACTTCGACCATGGCCAAAACCTCCTTTCCATTATCTGGGAGGTCTCGGACGAAACGCGGAAAGAAGTGGAAGGCTGGGCAGGATTCCTCGACGCTTCCGGACGCTAAGTTGGGCATTAGATTAAAGTCCACCAGTTCCAGCAGTTCATGAAACAGGTATTTGACTGAATTTGAGATGAGATGTAAGTAATGCTTATAAAGTAAACCTCAATTTTACTTACAGAAAAGGTCAAGCTCATGGATAGTGAAGTTCTCTGGCATCTTCTCCTCATCGTACTCAATGGTGTACTCGATGTTGAAGCGGATCACCTTGCAGACGGGGAGATCGGTGAGGCGTACATGCGAGAGAAGTGAGAAGCCCTCGAATAGGAACTCGTGCTCATCATGCTTGATAATGGTTGGTGTCTTTGTCAGAAAATTAGTGGGCGGTGAGATGCTGATCCTGTAGTGGAACAGCTTGCCTGCATTGTTGCTGTTTGGATCGCACACCTTGTAGCCAGTCTCGCCCGGATATATGCCGTGCCGAATGCCAATGCGCCGAGACTTGGCTGAACAGCGGCATAGAGGACCGTCGTTCATCTCACCGGCGTCGTTGTGCCAAAGATCTGCGTGCACACGCTGTGGGTGTTGCACCTTGCGCGAAAGCTCCTCCATGCAGCAGTCCTGTTCGATCTTAAAAGCGTCTTCGTCGGAGTCGTCATCGGAGGAGGAGGACGAAGAGCAGGCCTCCGACTTGTGCTTGTGCTTGCAAACACGCCGGCGAGCCTTTCTTGGAGGCGGCACGTAAACGGGTAGCTTCTCGCGCACGCGCTCCGCTCTCCGCAGCAGCTCCTCTTCGAACAGGTTGCACAGCTTTTGCAGTCGCGCCCGACCGCTGACCTCGTTTTCACTCTTGGTGCGCTCGTAGTAGAGCTCCGCTGGCGAAGATCGCACCCAGGATTCGACTTGAGCATCCGCCTCACTGAGGGCGTTCATCTTTTTCACATAGTCCTCCGGTTTTTCACAGAAGTTAGAACACCACTGTTTCAGCAGACGGTCCCTTTCGGTCTCCACCTTCGGTTTGGCCCTAGTCTTCTCTAAGGGCTCACTTTTCACCCTCTCGTGATAGCTGCGTTGGGAATACTCCTCACTAGCCGGGTTCCTGGCGGACCCATAGTAGCCGTGTTGTGACCCTTTTGGCGGCCTGTGGGCATAGTGTCCGTGTCGTGGCTCGTGGGTATATCGGGTCTCCTGAATATGACGGTGTTCCTGATCATGTCTCTGTTCGTACCGTCTTCCCGAGCTATAGCCAGGATAATGGTGGTAGCCTTGACTGGAGCTATGGGAATTGTACCTCTGCCTTTCGGATGGATGTCGGTAGTTGGACGCGTAGGCTGGATAGCGGTCAGGATATTTATAGCTTTCATATGGGAAGGATGATCCGGATGCCGGGTATTGGTATTGGTAAGGGGGCTCCTGGCCACCGTACTTCTGTGCTGGTTCGTTATAAACATATCCCTCGTAGCCGTACGGTGCTGGTTGCTGGTACTGATCATAGCTGGGGACGAAGCTGGCATATGGAGCCGGTGTCTCCGGATAGACGTAATCCAAAGGCTTCGAGCTGTGAGAATGCGATTCATTTGACGAATAGTTGTGCGAGGAAACACCTACTCCCGGCGGAGATAGATCTTCTTCTGGTGGAGGTGGGGGCGGGGGAGGGGGTGGCTGGACTGGAGTCGGTGGCAAAGGCGGCTGGTACATGACGATGTTTTAGGAAAACCTCCAGTAAAATTGACAAATGTACTTTTTCCCACTCCCACTTTTCACCGCAATACGATTGGTCTGGCAACTCGCCGGGTTTGTTTACACTCGTACATCCGGCAAGGCCGTGCTACATGTTTCGATAGACGACGCAACAAAATTATGTTACACCAGCGGTATTTTTTCTCAAAACACTGCGCGATGGCCTTTTACGCTGTAGCCAGTGGGCGAAGGACTGGAGTCTACGACTCTTGGGCAGAGTGCGAGGAGCAGGTCAAGGGTTATAAGAACGCCAAATACAAGAAGTTTAAAACGCGCCAGGAAGCGGATCAGTTCGTTAATGGCTGTAAGTCGTATGCACCACAGGATGTGGCCGTGCCGCTGGGCAGGGGACAGGCAGCACTAGCCAGTTGGAAGAACAGTACAGGAGTGATTGGGAACCCCAAGTACACAGAGGAGTGGCCCGAAGAGAATCACGATCAAGCAGAGGATGATCTGGTAAGCATGAATACATACATATGCTTAAATCGTGATTCCTGACCATCTCTCCTTTCAGAATGCTGCCATGAATGAGGTGGAGGGAGATCCCATGCCATCTGATAGTAGCAACTTAGTAGGAGACCAAAGTACATTATCTTGAGAAAGTTAAACATAGTTTCTTTCAGGCAGACATTCTAAATCGCAAGCGGAAGGGCACGCACAGCAGTGATAACCGGAACAAGATCCCACGACATGCCTCTCAGGTCATAGAAGCCGCTGGACTCAAGCAAGTGGGTGCATTCCAGTTTGAAATCGATGCAGAGGGCTATGTAATTGTGTACACAGATGGCTCATGCATAGGCAATGGACGACCCGACGCCTGTGCCGGCTATGGTGTTTATTTTGGCAAGAATCATCAGCTGTAAGTGGTAACTGAAAATCAATAACTCTACTTATAAACTTTAAATTATTTAAAGAAACGCAGCCAAGCCTGTGGAAGGTCGCGTTACAAATAATGTGGGTGAAATACAAGCGGCCATTTATGCCATAAAAACCGCCATTGATTTGGGAATACAGAAGCTATGCATTAGCACAGACTCCCACTTTCTAATTAACTCCATAACCTTGTGGGTTACGGGTTGGAAAAACAGGGGTTGGACTCTAAAGAACAATCAACCTGTGAAAAACGTTGTTGACTTTAAGGAACTAGATAACCTGCTTCAGAGCAACAACATTACCGTGAAATGGGTTCGTAACTATATAAAATAACGTACTCGATTATACCTTAATTCAGATTATATCACCAGAACTACGTGGAGGCCCACAAGGGCATAGAGGGCAACGAAATGGCAGACAAATTGGCGCGACAAGGATCCGCCATGTATAAGGATAGAAATCGCTGATAAGCATTTTTAAATGGAGCGCCTTTGTAGTATGTATTTGATGTGGCAACGCTGAATAAATTGAAGTTACACGACAGCCCTGGCCGAAATGTTTTTATTTACAATTTACTTGAGTTGCATTTAAGTTAAGTTAGTTTAAAAAAAATGCATTCGAAGAGAATTAACAAGTGTTTATTGCTTACTTTTGTTGTGTGCTTACTGGGAGGAGCGGGCAATTGTTATGTACCAATTGAACCACCTATTGTTCATGTGGAAATGGACAAAGCCGGCATGCACAGGTTTTTCTAATAGAGAGCGGGCTATGGATTACCTAAATTAAAGTGATATTTGTTTATGCAGGACCCTTAACTACCGTCTGCGGTTCGACATTCCCCTGGTAGGCAAGGACTGCGAGTATATGCTGCTCCAAGATTTGCCAGCATCCATTTACATAAGCACAGACGAACTGGATGACCTGCAGCGTTTGAAGAGGGTGCGTTATCTTGGTAATTAATGTAAAAAGGATTACTATGAAGATTTTCGTTCCCAGTTGAACGCCATCTACCCCAAGTTCGTCAACATTGAAGTGGCCACGGAACGTGCACAGCCCTTCTCCGTTTTACTGCGCGGAACACCAAAGATTACGGAATCGCTGGCTCTACCCGTGCATTTTCGCTACCATGCCCCCAGTGATAAGCGGTGTGGTGATCTTGAATTCTGAATTGCTTTCGTCCACTGGACTAATCAACTAATCCTCACAGATCGGCGGCCACGGTGGCCATACCCTTACCCGAGCTCTATCTCAATTGTCCGATGGCTGATAGTGCGCTCATCGAGAACGACTTAGTTGCCCGGCCCGATAAGCTCTACTGCCTTAATGCGCCGGAAAGCCGTTTCGACGAGAACCACGTCAAGGATGGCCAGCCCACGACCATGGCTAATCTGGAGCGCTGCAACTGGAGGCGGGTGCACGTGGACTGCCAGCTGAAGATGCCGCTGCGTGCCGAGATTCCGGTAGGCCAGGCTAACGCTTACGGTCCGGTGTTGTGCGGCACCATCCTGCTAGGTTGGTCCTTGGCCCTGTGGACCATCATCCACTCGATGGCCAATACGCGACGCATAAATCAGCGCCTGAACGAGCAGCGACTACTGCAGCAAAAAGTCAAGTAACAGGCGACGAAGTCGGTGCGATTCAATGTCAGCAATGGCTAATTAAACCATACATTCTGGCGATGGCACATGGCTGTAAATATTTATTAATATGCTGTATGCATACACAACTCATTTATTGACATATTTAAAGCGACTTAAGCACCTTCGAAACGTGCCACAAATAGTAAAGTCATATTATCACACAACTGAGTCATATTAAGCTTCCCTAAGCATAAGCGTAAACATAAACCTTTATCTTTAGTTATAGCTAGGCATATCCAAATATCGCTATCTCAGCGGCAGGCTTAAATAATAATAACTTATAATTACTACAATTAACAAGAATGTACATAGCGTCCAGGTGCAGGTCGTGGGATCAGAACAGAATGTCTTTATCTGACGTTGGAACAATGGTTTTTGAATCGTTCTCCTGGTGGTTGCGAAGCGTCATCGTGCTAGACGTCGATGACGTTTCGTTCCACTTCTGAACGGTGGCCTTGCCAAATATCAGAAAAATAGCGTTGCACACTAGATAAATTCCTCCTGTAATAAAGAACACTATTCGCCACTGGCTGGGATCCTCCTCATCCGATACAATCGCTCCCACCACTAAAGGAGCTATTATGGAGGTCACTCCTGCAATCCCGTTGGTAACTCCCATCATGGGGCCTGCAAAGTTGGGCGACAGGTCGATGTGATTGATAAGATATCCGCAGGAACAGCCTGCATTGATGCCCACTGCCAGCGTCAGCAGAACAATGGCCCACGTTTTCTCTTCGGATGTCATGTACCCCAGTCCGATCAAACAAGCCATCGGTCCCCACTGTCCAATCGAATTAAACAGCTTTCGACCCGTGGTGATCGATATGGTCCCTCGGTTGATGAGCAGATCCGATATGGGACTGACCACAAAGCAGAGCAGGCCCATAGCAAAGTACGGCAGCGAGGAAAGGAAGGCATTGGACTTGACATTAAGCTGCAGGACCTTGCTCATGTACGTGGGCATTTCAGTGAGTAGCGTGTAGAAGCCCCAGGTGAATCCACAATGGGCTGCCAGCAGACCGTAGAAGGCTGGGGACCTAAAGATCGACATCCAGGGCACAGGCATAGACTGAATGAAAAGGTTGCACCATTACAATTCATTTTCAATGGTCGTATCACATCCTCACTCACCTGACTGGCGCTGTTGCTTCCCGTAAGGCTTTCGATATACTCCACCTCGCCTTTGCTAATCCTGCTGGCTGTAGCAGGCTCATTAGCCGCCTGCCAGAAGAAAAGCAGCGCCCAAGCCAGGCTCAGACCTCCGGAAAGGTAGAACAAACCTGGCCAGCCCATGCTGGATTCGAAGATAAAGCCACTGGTGACTAGGATAACAGCCGTTCCGAACTGTGCTCCCGAATAAACGCCAGTGGTCAGGAGTCCCCGCTCCGTGCGTGGCACCCACTTAGCCAGTAGCGTGTGGACACACGGATAAACTGTTCCTTGGACCAGTCCGGTAAGTACACGCAAGACACAGATACTCTGCCACCCACTTTTGGCTGCAATGGGATGGAAGAAGCACAAAATACCGCCGATTGCAGTCGCCAGACCCAGCACTAACTTGGCTCCAAATCGCTTGGCAAGGAGTCCTACAAAATTGTGAATGAGGTGGTAAGTAGCTCTTGGTCAGAGTCCAGCTATTTACCTGCCGGCACCTGGGAGATCACATAGCCCCAGAAAAAGCTGCTGAGGATCAGGGACTTGTCCGACGTACCCCAACTATAGAATGGAGCACCCGCGGTGGACTGCGTCATGGGCACAATGCCAGCCGAGATGTTTACCCGCTGGAAGTAGTTGATCATCATGCCCACGAATAGAAGAACCGCCTGCCAGTGTCGCACGCCAAGACCTCTAGCTGAAATGGAAATGTAAATGATGATATAGTTTTGAGATTGAATTTACACTCATTTGGTTGTTGTTACAGGCTAATTTCCTAAGTGGATTCGCAACTGCTCTGACTAGCAGGGGCCTTCTCTCTCCAGTGGAATAATAAACCATGTCTGATCGGTTACGGATTTAACTAGTGTCTGGCCATCCGATTTATTGATTGCCCCATTATAAATGCACGGTGCAAATTGTTGTCACTTGTTCGATATTTTCTAGGACCTTAATCTACAGTTTATTGCCGTTTAACAATGCTCTGATAATGATGATTTCATTAATTACGGGTCCGTCGAAACTCTTTCGGTTTTATTATAATAATATTTTCATTATCATTTACGTCTGCCAATGAGGAAAAAAAAATTGCTGCTCTGCTCTCAATGGAAAAGTTCCCGTAGTGGAGGAGATACCACAGTGGGGCCTAACGTGTGAAAATCGTAAACTTTGATTACCTCCTATGAACTGGATGGATCTTCGGATTAGGTCCCCAAAATTCGTGCCTTGCAGATGAACACGTTTTCCAACCTTCGCGCAGATAATAAATATTTTCTTTGTGTCAAACTTATTTATCTCTGTTGATCTTCATAAAATCTTAAGTCTCGGCAGATGTCTGATAAACAATGTATCAAGATATGGTTCGCAAATATGGCCAGACGTCTGGATTATAATATCATTGAATAAACTCTTAGGGTAGGTCTAGTGTTATATGAAGAGCAGTCAGGGTAAGATTAAGAGAGCAGCGGTATAACTGATAGTGTTCTATAAGTTGGCTGTGCCTTTAAGATCAAACAAGTGACGAACGCACCCTCAACATACAGAAGTGTTGATATTAACTTTTGTGGCGAAGAATGATTTTGATGACTTTTATAAATACAGTTTTGCAATATTGTTTTAAATTTAAAATGTATTTAATCGCCCCGCTTTATAAAAATATTTAATTGGCCACCCGGTCATTTTATTTCTTTGTGTGCATATGTTCATATATAGGTAGTGGTCGCCTTAGCACCGTCACTACTTAAACGTCCACAGTCAACAGTGATTAAATTTAATCAAGTTGTGGCAAGGGATCCCGATTTTAAATGGATCGATGGTAACTGATAGTCCTTTGCGTTGTATTAACGAAAATATTTATTCTTAATATTTTCTTGTAAGATGGCATAAAACAACAAAATTATAACATTTCTGCCAAGCTAATCCATAAAATATCTCTCATGCACAAAATCATTGTCAATATTGTAATTGCAATATTGTTCGTTTCCAGTAACTAAGTATTTTTAGGTTCACCTTATTAACGTTATCAACCCTATTAACACTTAAAATGTAATATTTGTTTTTGAAAGTTTTCTATACTTCACTATTACTGCGAAGTATATGAGAAATGGTATTTGCAAGCTTTTTAATCATCACTCTCACGCCATTCGGCAACAGTGATTTTCTCTTTGATCCGAAACTTACGCCTTGCCTTATCCTCAGAGGGTTCGAACCCCATTTTAGGTCTCTCACTGATTTTTTTTTATAACTCGGTGAAGTAAATATCGGCCGAAGTTCCTGGCCCCGAAAGCGATGTTAAACTGCCAGAGCGAATGTTGTACCTTTTGCTTTTATACTGATACCACAAAAACTCAAGTTCCTGATTACAGGCGCCTCCGCCTCCATTTCTCAAGTACCCGCGTGGCTACGCGACAATATCGCGATAATAATCATAAAGCCATAAACCGGCACTTGCCCCGCGTCCAATACAATGCAAATTACATTATGTCTTCGCTTTGATTTTATTTGTAACCGATTGAACCCAAACGATCGCATCTGCCTGGTGGTTACAAATATTGGTTCAGTCATTAGTATAGAAAGGGTAATCTCATACATACACGTGTATATATCGCATGTTACTGTCCTGCACCTGTCTTATCTCTTATTGTGTGGAGTTTTTCACAGAATTGTGCAAGATTTGTTGATTATCCTGGTCTAATTGTTTTATAGCTTCCGATTAAGGCTGTCAACACTTTTGCTGCCCAGAAGATTCTGGGGAAAGCCTTTATAGCTAAGATATGTCTCAGCCTTCAAGGCTTTCGCCGGGGTAATTAAATATTATATAAGGAAAAAGTACCACGTTATTTATAATTCAAACAAAGATGTTTCGGAATCTTTAAAGTGGCGTTAAATCTTTATCACTGCGGAGTGTGCCACTTCCATAAATTCTTCTTAAACTTCTTAAATTTGGGTGGTCATTTATAAAAAATAAAATTGTATTTAAAATATCTATAGCTATTTATATCTGTAGCCATTTTAAAATAAAAACCAATTTCAAATTGCATCTAAGTTTCTTAGGATAAGCTATCGTTGGCCATGTTTACTTCATGTTCATTTCTTTTATCGATTAATTGTCTAATTTAATGTTCATTACTTATCTTTACTTCCATTTTCGGTTCCTCAATAAAAACATATAATGAATCTGTCTCTATGCATGTAGCATGAAGTGAATTTTTTCATGATTATTATTATGAACAATGTTTTTCATATTCCTTGCATTTCTGTAATAAAAGGCTATATTCAATATGAAAAGTTCCAGTTTCAGAACTTGTTATATCAATCTCTCCCTTTTTTGTTTTTTTTTTAATATTACCCTAATGTTCTACTTACCAGAACAGGATGTTGACCTATTTTTGGTACTTTGGTTGTAGAAAACTGTTACTAATGACTTTTTATTTTCAGTCAGTTGATGAAGTTTCAGTTGCCACTAAATATTTAAATTTCATATCAATGGAATTGAATTATCCGATAGCAAAAATTGTCAGAAGAAAATAAGCTTCACTGAAAATTATTTTGTACATTAATTTTTACACATAACTTACCATTATTGCACTTTATTATCTGCTTACAAGATACTTGGTATGCAAGCATCTCACAACAGCGTTACTTATTGGTTTTATATATATATTTTGTAAATTATTTAAAAAGAAAATCGTTTCTTTTTATTATTTTGCAAAACAATTTTTTAACGGAATCTTGGATTATTTTTCTTTGTCAAATTTTCCTTCTTGTTGTTTGGTCACACTAGACAAAGGAGATTAGTTTCACTTGCTTAATTTTTTGTTGCTCCTTCAATATGTCCACGAGATCTTCATTCTGCGATGAAGAGCAGAACAAAGTGCCCCGCATCATGACCTTCCGTCCCAGCTACGATGAATTCAAAAATTTTTCCGCCTACATAGACTACATTGAGTCCCGCGGAGCACACTTAGCCGGCTTGGCCAAAATACAGGTAAGCATGCCAAGCTCCCAACTTTTTGCACATAAATATAATTGATTTTGTTTTTTTTTTACCTACAGCCACCTGCGGAATGGGTGCCCCGAAAGTCGGGCTACGACATAGAGAACATCAACATGACCATTCCAGCACCGATCTGCCAAGTGGTCACAGGGTAAGTGCTTCTTATTTACGGCTCAATGCTCACAAACAAGGAAAACATTTGACACTTAGGGCGCACGGGGTGTACCAGCAAATCAACATCCAGCAGCGCCGGCAGATGACGTTGCGCCAGTTTATGGAGAAGGCCAATTCCGAGCTTCACCAGACACCAAAGCACTTCGACTACGAGGATCTGGAACGCAAGTACTGGAAAAACATCACCTACATATCGCCATTGTACGCAGCCGATGTCAAGGGAACGCTGAGTGACGAAGAACTAGACGTGTGGAACATTGGGCGACTGGATACCATATTAAACCTGGTCAACACCGACTACAACATAATCATCGATGGCGTGAACACGGCTTACCTCTACTTTGGTATGTGGAAGAGCTCATTTGCCTGGCATACTGAGGACATGGATCTGTATTCCATTAACTATCTGCATTTTGGAGCACCAAAAACCTGGTACGCCATTCCGCCGGCGTATGGAAGACGACTAGAGAAGCTGGCAAACGAAACCTTCACTGAGAACTACCAGGAGTGCAATGCCTATCTTCGCCATAAGATGACTATGATCAGCCCGAAGGTGCTCCGCCAGCACAACATACCTTACAACAAGATCACTCAGGAGGCGGGCGAAATCATGATCACATTTCCCTTCGGGTACCATGCCGGATTTAATCATGGCTTCAACGGCGCCGAGTCGACCAACTTTGCGTCGAAGCGTTGGATCGAGTACGGTAAGCGGGCAAGTATCTGCCGATGTCGCAGCGACATGGTTAAAATCTCGATGGAGACCTTCGTACGCCGTTTCCAGCCAGAGCGATACGATAATTGGTTAAGAGGTCAGGACATTGGCAGTCACCCCGAAGAGCCGGGCAAAATATGCGCTGCAGCGCCCCCCACTTTGAACGAGTATGAAAAACAGGAAAGGTATTACATTAACGATCAAATGGTTTTTTTTTTACTAAGATAACCGCATACTTTAGTTTACGTACTGCCAAATCCAAGGAAGAATCTCCACAAAAGCGAGGCTGCTCGATGGCTGGCAATGGATGTGAATCTAATGCGGGGTCCGCCGAGGATGTCGACGATAGGGCCAGTGTGAGCAGCTATAACAGCTGCCGCCAGCTGCAGCCAGTTGTCAAACTACGCAAACTTCCACCCACTGCGTCTGTACCTGAACCATCTTCCGCGCCTAAGAGATACGACTTCAACTCTGAAGCTGTGGTGCGCGTGAAGCGCCTATGGAATGAACTGCCCTGTCCTAATCCCGGGGTTAACCTGCTCACCAATGGTGTAGTAAAGAACACCAAACGAATGCGTTTCCAGACAAAAGTACTCACACTTGACGACGAGGATTGAGAATTCCACATATGGCACTGCATTATGGCAGTTTTTTGATCTCCTTGCTAGATGTTCGCCCCGCAGCAATCAAAGATCTAGTATTGATATTCTTTTGTACGTTTTGATACATTTTAAGCGGACATGACGCCATCACAAAGCAGATATGTGTATAGAATTTAGAAGACAACCCAATTCATGCAATTCGTTGAATCAAATATGTATAAATATTTAGGCTGTAAATAGGACAGACTGAATTTGTCCGTTCACATTTTTCTAACAAGTGTCTGTTCCCACCGAAAAAAGTATTGTATTACAATTTAAATTGGATAAACACAAAATCATTTTCTAAAGAAACGCCCCAAAGGTCGATGTCTATAATCAAACAGAAGTATCGCTTAATAATTTGATATGTTTTGACATATGTAAAATACCTTGCAACAAAAAGAGGAACGCCTACTAAATTGGCAACCGGTAATTAATAACTATAAATCGCGGACTATAAAAGCATTCCGAATTCCTCCTCTCGACAGTTACTTCATAGCCTTAACCATTTAATATCATAGATGTTCCGACACTTTAAGCTTATCTATCCGGTTCCTTTATCGGAGCCTATGAGATCTAGGGACTCGAATGCATTTCTAAAGGAGACACTGCGAAATTCTGGCCTAGATGTGGACAACGACTTCGGTATAGGCCGCAAGATTATCAGGTTTTTTTCTTTCACCTACAATATGGTGATACTTCCCATAAGTTATCCCATAAACTACGTGATCTATCGTTCGGAGTTCCCGCCGGAGCTGCTGCTACAATCCCTGCAATTGTGCCTCAACGCATGGTGCTTTGCTCTGAAGTTCTTCGCTTTGATAGTCTACATGAACCGTTTGGAACTGGCCAATAAGCACTTAGACGAATTGGATGAGTACTGCGTGAAGCCGGCGGAGAAGCGCAAGGTACGCGAAATGGTGGCCGCCGTTAGCAGGCTGTACCTGATCTTCGTCGCGGTCTACGGCTTCTACGCCACCTCCTCGCTTGTGGACGGACTTTTGCACAACCGTGTTCCCTACAATACGTACTATCCGTTCGTAAACTGGCGAGTTGATCGGGCCCAGCTGTACATCCAGAGTTTTCTGGAATATATCACCGTGGGTTGGGCCATATATGGGTCCTCAGCCACCGATTCATACCCTGTGATTTACGTGGCAGCCCTGCGTACTCATATTCTGTTGCTCAAGGATCGTATCATTTACTTGGGAGATCCCAGCAACGAGGGTAGCACCGACCCGAGCTACATGCTTAAAACGTTGGTGGATTGTATCAAGGCTCACAGAACCATGCTAAAGTAAGTCAGTTTTTTAGAAATATTGATAGAAAATATCAACACCCGTAAATTATATTTTCTATCAACTGTTCTGAATTTATTCAGAAAATAATGAAAAGTACAACTTTTATAAGAACTCCTTTACAAAGCTATATTTGTGAATAGAAATACCATATATACTACAATTTTCTGAACATTCAGGTTAAAATAAATGGTATATCAAACGATTTGACATAAAACGAATTTATTTCAAATAAATTAATTTACTCTTAATGCATGCATTAAGTTATTCGTTCAATGGTAAAACATACCTCTGTTTTTTATCCAGTTTTTGTGATGCCATTCAACCCATCATCTCTGTCACGATATTTGCTCAATTCATCATTTGCGGATCGATTCTGGGGGTCACTATGATCAACATGGTGTGGTTCGCTGATCAATCGACCCGATTTGGCATAGTAACCTACGTTATGGCCGTGCTTCTGCAGACGTTTCCGCTTTGCTTTTACTGCAACGCCATCGTGGATGACTGCAACGAGGTGGCCGACGCTCTTTTCCATTCCGCCTGGTGGGTGCAGAACAAGCGGTACCATCGGACCCTCATTCAGTTCCTGCAGAAACTGCAGCAACCCATGACCTTCACAGCCATGAACATATTCAAAATAAATCTGGCCACTAACATAAATGTAAGTCCACTGCTCTCGGACAGAACAGTAAAGCAAACTCCGAACTCCGATCCTTGCAGGTAGCCAAGTTTGCCTTCACCGTCTACGCCATTGCGAGCAGTATGAACCTGAACCAAAAGTTAAGCATTCAGCAGTAGAAAAGAATACTCAATAAAAATGACCGCACCAAAGGTAAACGTACATAGTTTTGTGAACTAAACACTTTTTTGCTTCGTAGAATTATAATAATCGTATATGCATACAGCGAATTATGAATAAACGTAAGCTAGTTAAAACAAATATTGATCGAACAATGCGTATTAAAGAAAATCGCTACATATGTATACCGTACAGCCCCTGCAGAAGTCTATTGTAGGCTGGGAACCTGGGTTGTCCTCGGAAATTGGAATTACAAAGGCTGGATTCGTCAGCTGTAATATGGTCAACGGGTTCACTTGATCCCTGCGACTGGCCTTTTCTTTACATGAGGTGCTGGGTGACGGAAGATGAAGTTAGTGACGCGTTGGCGAGAATTGCACATATTATGCGAAGCATGGAATATTTTTAGCTCGCTAACAGTTCGAATGTTTCGGCGGCAGTTTATTTCGGGCTGGGAGAAGGGGAGCGGAGGGTCCACACGATTCTAAGTATATTGATGATATTTTTAATGGCTGGCATAGATGAAACAGCGAAAGTTGTACATTTAACATAAACTTAGGCGAGATAACTATATGTGTCTTTGTGTCCCTCCATTCGCTCTAGATACTCCTTCTCAATCAGGATGTCTATACACTTCTTGATCACGGGCACCTTAGGCTTAAAGCGCGTTGACAGCTGATTAAGCACCTCCGAAATTAGATTGGTGTGGTTGAGTCGTTTGCGCATCTTCATGATGCGGACGATCGCCGCCTGGATCAGCAGTTTTCGGTCCTCCTCTATGTGCTTATGTACAGTCTCCTGCTCCACTTTAAGTTCAGTCTTCAGAGGCTGGTTGATGTTAATTCGGCGTTTCTTGTTCTTGTAATCTAGGAACAACTCCACCGTCGACTCGGGCGTCAGCGAGTTCTCATTGTCGCTGGAGGTCAGCACCTTCGCCTTGAGTAGTATTTGCAATACCTGAAAGAAGAAGCACTTAAGTACATATCTAGCTATTGACACGATTCACTCTCACCTGAATCAAGTTCTCCTGTTGCGTCTGTGTGTTGTCCTGCAGTTGCTGGACTGTAAAACTGAGCTGATCATTAAACTGGAGCAGCACTGACATTTGGAAGGTGCTGGCCTGCAGGGTGTAGGTGGAGGAAGTATTGCGGTTGACGTTCATTAAAAGTTCGCCCTTGCACATCTGATACAACCAGTTGAGCTTGCGACCAGAGTGGCGGGCAGCGTAAAACTCATTAAACTGTCGCACTGATCGCTCCAGTTCGGATGGAAGCAGGAAGGTGTTGCTCAGCTGAAAAGGCCATGAGCCAGAGGACAGGACCTCTATTCCAAAGTCAATTTCCATGGTCACATTTTTCTCGGCCAGGTACTGCTTAAAGTTCGAGTTCAAGTCCTTTGAGACGCCAATGTCCTGGAACATCCGCTGCAGCTTAACGGTGTACTCGTAGCCACACGTCTGCTTCAGCTTGGAGATCATCATAGCCTCGGCGTCATCCGAAGCCGATGTGTGGTTAACCAAACGCTTAGCAAGCATTTTGGAGTAATATTTTTGGAAGACGTCCTTATCCTCGATATACTTGAACACGACCATCACCTGGTTAAGATTGTCCTCGAGCTCCTTGTCCTCTGGATTCTTAGAGGACTTTTTCAACAACAGATCGCAGTACTTGGCCAGCAATTCGGGCGACTTGCTAGCACTGTTTGCAATTGTGACCACGTTCGAGTTTATGAACTTTCCGCACGCCTTATCCAAGGCGGCCACGAATCCGTTGTCATTATTGAACGCCGTCAGAACTAGGGCGTTATACTTCTTGTGCACGTCCAGGATGGTCTGGACGTACGTCTTGGGATCGTTGGCCGCGTCGGTAGTACAGCATTTGGCAATGGCCTCCGTTCCCTGGTGGAGTATGTGATTCTCAAGAATGGACTTAAGATCTGTCAGGTTTTTGGGCGAGAGGGCGACCAAGGAGTACATCCGTTTCAGATCATCGTTTCGGTCTGCATTGAGCAGATTCTGAAACTCGGTGTGAAATATTTTCAGATGTTTTTCAATAAGAACCTGAAAGACATTGATACGGTTAGTAGGCGGCTTTAAAGTTGGACACGGTAGGCAATCCCACCTGTTCGCATGTGGATTTAAGCGCATCCGCCGTGGTCTCGTGCAGATAGGAAAGACCGTTCTTCGAATTAAAGCCGCGAACGCGCTGCGTCTCCTCCTCCAGCCTGTTTTCGACGTGCTTCAGATACTCGGTGACCGTGTTGGTGGACAGGAAAGCGTCCGACTCCTTCTCGTAGAAGGCATAAGTATCTGCGATAAACTTGCTCTCAAAGTTGTCCTTGTAGACGGATAACTTCTGCTGCTCGGCATCGGTATCCTCCTCGTTAAAGCTGAGCTCCACGTAGCACTCGATAACGTCCCGAACCAACGACCGGTTGATGAGCTTGCCTTGCCGCTCCTCCTCAATAGACTTGAGCACTGCCTTGGTGACCGGCTCGTTTAGCACTTGGAACAAATGCCCCTTCCAGGCGACGAGGGCCAGTCGGTAGATCTTGTAGATACCCTTTTGCCCCTCCTCGCATTCGCGCTTTACCCAGTTGCGGTTCAGGTAGTTGCAGATGCCGTCCAGCACGGTGCTGGAGAACTGGTACGACTTCCACTGTTTGGTGTAGCGCGATAGGAGCACCTCTTCGCCGCTAATGGCCTTAAACTTGGTGAGCAGCTCGCTCAGGTATGACTTGAGAAATTGCTCCAGCCGGTCGTATAGCTTCTTGCCCACCAGCTGGGCCCCGCCGGTCTTCCCGCTACTGCGTCCGCTTGGAGCCGCATTCACGCTGGTGCAGTAGTCGTAGACATGCGTGTAGAAACGCATGTACTGGCTGCGAGTGAGGGACTTCTCGTGCTCAAACACCTGCAGAATGCCCTCGACCAATTCGCTCCAGATATCGTCCAGGTTGACGAGTTTCTGTGTGGTCTGGGAATTGCCGGAGCGGTTCATCCTGGCGGCGGTGGGTGGTGGTAATGGCCTTCTGCCTTCTTCCACTGGAGGATGCTGTCCCTGCAGTGGCGCTGGGCTGGAGGAGGCAATGACCCTAGGTGATGAGTGCTGCGCGGGCGACAGGGGATTGCTGCTGCTTTCCAAGTGGCGACGTTTCGCGGCTCTCGTCCTGGGAGCTGTGGCCGGAATCTTGGCGAATCGGTGTTCCAATTTTGGAATTTTAAGTGTCAATCTGCAGACGAGACGAATCGGTACAGAAACGGAATGGGAGTGGGAATGTGGTAGGCCTCGCCACGTAAAAAGCGACGACCCGAAGGTCGCCTATTATGATCCAATGTCACAGCAATAAAAGAGAGACTTGCGGAATACACACATGCACGCACCGAGCTTAAGCTGTAATGCAATGCGAGGTGGTCGGACATGCCCTGCAATGTAGGGTATCGGCCAATCGGATGGCAGGTAAAGCCCCACCACCGCCCCCGCTTATCGATAGATCGTGTTCGAAAACCCAACTTCCTGGTTAAATAAACACTCACATACACACGAATGCAGTCGCCCTCGCCTTCACACACACACAAAAGCACAAAGCCAAGAAAAAAAAAAGATAGCTCACATAACCATTTCACAACTAAATAGTTAACATTTTTCCGATTTTTCAGATAGCTGCCTCCAAACGAAATAAATTTTTCTGGAAAAATGAGCTGTGTGCCTGAGTTTTCTTTTCGTGACGTCGTGATTTGATTTCCCCTTGGAGCACACACACTTTTCTCTTTTGTTCGCCATTTTCATAGCCCGAATTCTCGTCTGTAGTTGCATTTTCCCTCTTTTTGCTTTGAATTACCTGTTGCTAGTCGCTCTTTAAATTAAAACTAAACTAAATTAAAACGTTTTTTTCACTATCGTGCTTATAATTAAATCAACTTTTTTTCTGTGAAAATTACTAACTTTCGTTTATTCCTAACTATTAAAATAGAGAGACCGCACGGCCATTGAGATGGAAATCCCTCCACGGTGGTATCGATTGTTGGGCTTACCACCACTATAGGGGGCAATCTCATATATTTGTATTACTTGAGGAAATTCTTTATTATTATGTCTCAAAGGAGCCGAAAGATCGAAAAAATCGCTATAGTGCTCAGGCTCTTCAAAGCGTGTTGTAAAATACCGAAAATGCGTTTCGTATCTTAAATTTTAGAAATTCGTAAGTGGATACAGTCACTTTAAATATGACATTTTCATGGGCGCAGTTCCAGGAACCTGAGAAGAATCAATATAATAATTGTTTGGTTTTAATAGGCTTGGTGTTCAAAACAAGAGTACTGCAAATATTTATTAAAGCCCATTTCAGATATATATAGTTTTATAAGGTTCACCCTAATGTTCGTACGAAATACAACTCATCCAGCACTCAAACCAATGTGACCATGTGTGGTAGGCTTACACGTATATTTCATTCCTAATTCGTTTGCTTTGAAGTGTGTGGCAACTCTGACGCTAAGCAAAACAAAAACAGAACAGCAAAGAAATTTAAAAGGTCATTGTTTATCCTAAGACGCGGCTAAATTTAGTAATTTGTATTGTTGGATACGAGAAAATGGCCTGCCGCGGCTTCTACTTAGTGGCTACAGCACTGCTGCTGGTACTTTTCCATCAGCAATCCTGTGACGCAGCCACCCAGGCGCCCCAAAAGTCGGTGGTAATTGCTGAGCATAGTGCGCCGGCTGTCCAAGTGGAGGCTAGGAAGCCAGTCGTGAAGAAATCTCAAGCTGAGAATACTCCGGCAGGAGCACAGGCTGCTCCGGCTGCCCCAGGTGTCCGGGCCGCTCCACCAGTTCCACCAGGGACCGGTAAGACACCGGAATCGGCTCAGTCCATTGGAAGTCTTCAGGTGGATGATGTGCATGTGGAACGGTCTCCCATGTCCCCCGATGTGGACTTTCCGGGCCAGGCTGTCGTTTACATCCTAGTGGGAATTACCAGTACGGCAATTCTTCTGCTCATAATGAGGGTTTATAGGTGAGTTGCTGGAGGTCATATCCTCGAACCGTAGACTATTGTTCTGAAAAGCGTGTAAAAAGGTTTACATACCTTTTATTGGTAACTTTGCATGCAATAAGGTATTTGAAAAACGCAAATAATATACATTTTTGAGATATTTTTGAATTAAAATATTATTAAAATATTAATTAAAATTAAATTAGTAATTTAATATTTAGTGTAATGTTTTAAATGTTCTTATCAGTACATTATATGCAATATTGATTGTCATTATATACATTTTTTTTTTTATATGATAATTGCATGTTTTGAAATCTATACTAGCGATTAGAGGTGATAAGACTAATCAAAGCGCAAATCATTGCAGGCTGCGACTCTCCCGGGCGGAGCGCAAGTACGGCGTGCAAGGCGACCGGGCCAACCAGGAGCTGACACCACTGCCCATGGCCATCGAGGACGTGAATAGTGATGAAGAGGACCACACCCTGTTCGAGGTCAATCGTCAGAACATACGCATATTATGAAATAGCAAAAACCAGCACACGCCAAAGATCCATTTGGTCGCATCGCCATTTCAGACACTTCTCAGCAGAACTTGCCTTGTTTCGTAGCTATTTACTGCTTTGTAGATTTCCGCTGTAGCTGCCAGCCAATAGCCGACTAAGCTCACTAATAACTAAGTTCTCTGCATTTCTCCTACTCGCAGTTGGTTCAGGTTTAACGAATCAAAAGGAAAACAAAACCACTTGTGATAACGATTACGATGATATGTATGTCTTTAAGTACGAAGATGCCGCTGGAGCCCCGAAGGCATTAAAAATCTCAAAAGTACCGATGCTTTCAACTAGCCTCTGCGTCGATGTTCCATATTAATAAATGTTATATTACATGTACCTTCTTCTCTTTATTCTTCACACTTTCTCAGGACTCTAGCTATAATTGGTTACAAATGTAGACTTAATACAGATTGATGGGCTTACAAATAGCTTTGACAAAGGATACATAGACTGGACATAGGCAGTATACGCGTACGCACGGAAACAAATGCTCTAACTCGTACTTATTAACTAGGATCACATAAATAATTTATTAACAATACTGCGACTGCGGCTGTGGCGGCCCTGACCTGCCAAGGAAAACCACAGGAGCTTACGACTACCGCTAACACTAAACTTGAGCTCGCTAACGTTTTACATTTGTGGTTGGCACTGTAGTTTGTATTATTCCGCCGATCCATTCCCCCGACCTACCAGAGTCGGATCTAGGGGCTAACTAGGGTGTCTATATAGCCATCGGCGTTGGTCGGCGATCGGGGATCCTCAAATCATGCTGCCGAACATCCGTTTGCCGCGCGTCAGGACCAGGCTGACCACCATCACAGTCAGCAGGAAGAAGACCAGGCTGAGGAACGTGGTGATGAAGCGACATCTTTGGCGGAACTTCTTCTCCTTCTCCATTTTTAGACGCAGCTGCTCCGCCCGCGGCAGGTCGAGCGTGAAGTCCGATTCTGGTCGCGAAGATGGCTGCGAATAGAAAGATGTCATCTTTAGTTCTTTTTAAAAGCAGGGCAAACGTTAATTTCCACAATACTTAATTTTCACATGGTCAATATATTGAAAGACTATACTAGTTCCCATATTGATGTGGCTTAGTTAGGACTCTGTTAATTATCAGTACAATGTACTGTAGTTGACCAGGATTTGTGTACTTTAAAGGTAATATATTGCTGGTTTTTGTTAAGATGTGCGATATTGATATTTAACAATTTAATGGAAAACCACCTTATTTGCACTATTCCAATATTTCGTTAACAAAAATTGGCATCGTGGGGCAGTTCGAGATGAAGAGTTACCACTGTAAATGCCACTTGGGCCTGCAATTAAGATAATTAATATTTGATGATATAAGCGCCTCGCTTTTATGTAAATCGCTGACCATCAACGACCGCTGACGATCTTCTCTTGACATTGATTATGACCACTTTAATCGCGCATAAATGCACCGATCCTATTTGAGTCAAGATAAAGCTAGTCTCGTCCAAGCGTTTTAGGTCACATAATGTTTGGCCATAAATCACGGCCCAAACAGCGTCTCGCGCCTGCCAATATTTGCAGGTTGAGCAGGGCGTGGTTGTGTGCTAAAAACTCAAAAAATAAACCGAAAATAAACGAAAAGGGCTCTCAACGCACAACAATTTGACCCACTGAGCTTTGTTTTCTTCGCTTTTGTCGCTTTGCCCGTGCTCATCTTAATTTTTTCCCGCTCGCCTCACTTTTAGCGACACAACCTTGAAATCTTTTCAGTACCAGCGAAAAAAGGCAAAATACAGTCTTGAAACAAAACGTTAACCGTTTTTGCTGATGCTTTTTGTTCGTTAATTTTTTTTTTGCCGATTCTCGCTGAGCACGTCAAAAGTTTTGAAACCCCTTTCGGAAATTTCTCCCAGCAGGTGCAAGCTCCGCAAAAGATGCATTAGTTGGTCTGACTTCTTTATCCCAAAGGCAAAGGACCCTTTGCGTTCGAAAAATGCGGCACACTCAGCAGCGACTTCCGGCGGAAGTTAGGTGTTAGGTAATTTCCCCGCTGATGCGATTTGGCGATTCTGCTGGCCAAATGTTTGCTAACTCAAATCGGCTTGTGCCAAACGACAGATGGGATCGCTTATCGAATTTCAAGAGAGAAAGTGGCGTATACGCAATGCGGTCATTAAAAGGGCATTCAAGTGAAGTTTTGCGGGTGCCTAGTGCCTGGAGTGCTTTCAACACACACTCGCACACACTCACTCGCATGTGTGTAATTGAGCTGTGGCGAACAAGGCGAACAAACAATTTCGCCTGCAACAATTTGTGCACACCTATTTTTGCATCTTATTGTGATTGCGACGGGCGCTGGCATTTTTTCTTAACTTTTTGCGGTTCGCTTTAAGCTGCATTGTTTTCGATTCGGGTGATCACTTCTTTTCCTGCTCACCCATTACAGTGCCTATCGCGTGGCAAGAAAGTATTTAAGTACAATATTAATAATCAGAATAATCATTCATCGTTACATTTTCTATATGATATCTAACTTATCTTGCATTCCAATTGCCCTTCCCTCCTATTTACCGTCTACCTTAGCGAGCATCTACTGTACGTGCAGCTCGACCAGCGACACACAATCGAAATGTGAAATTGAAATGAAGTCAGCTTTGCGGTACTTTTGTGCCTTCCGGCTTCTTTTCTCTCCATTTCTGATGATTCGCTTGTCTGAGGTTAGTGATGCCGTCCAAAGTCGGCGAATATGAACGCATATCTGTATATACAGATCTATATATATAGATCTGTGTGTTCGTGATTACCGCTGCTGTTTATCAGCCAAAGTACTGTGAAAAGGCAAGACGTAATCGGCCAAGATGACGGAGTCGGAGGCTGCGGGGCAATTACCGCATTCCGGCATTTGCAAGTGTATTGGCTACAGGCGGTGCACAGCGAGAAATAAATATTCATAATATGATTGGATGCTCAATCTTTACCTATGAAGTGATTTTGTCACTTTGAGTGGAAATATTAAATATTGTGACGTCCCAAATAATTACATTGTCGAATTGAGGTGGTTATTTTTAAAATATGATGGATTGGATGCTTCCCATTTGAAGCAAACTTGATCTTAAAAGATCTGTCATCCAGTACTACGGTTAGTTTAATTATATCTTATCTAGCTGCCACCTAAAAATATTCGGGCGTTCATTAGCACCAATAAAGAGACTCAGGATTGTGATTCCCCGCAGTGATTTATTTACCACGTTTAGCTCGCATTTTCTCCTAGTGCACCATTACTTCCCCCGTTTGTGGGAGCTGGAGTGTAACGGTTTTATTGGCTTGCCGTGCCAAATGAAGTGCAATTGTGGTGTAAAGTACCGTGGGTGGATGTGAATTGAAACCTGGGCCCCAAGCCCAGAGGTGCCGGGATATCTTGCCGATTTTGACGCGAGGGGAGACGCCTGTCTATAAGCTAATTTGCAAATGATGCCGCACACCAGCACGCACACGCAACAAATAATAAATAAATAAATTATATAAAGAAACAAAAACATAAATTCGGCAAAGATATGCAAAACGATGAGAAATCGACTACTGGCTGTAAATTCCCGCTCAGCCCGGCCTTGAAACACATCGCATTTATCGTGTATATCGTGTATATCGCATACGCCGTGTGCCCCCCAAATACGGGTTCAGCTTTTGGGTGTGTGCTAATTTCTGAAAGAAAATCCATCGATCGGCGGGGCGTTTTAATTTGCCGCACACGTTTTCCGCCGCTGACATTGAAGGCGCTTCTGTGCGCCGTTTCGCCCCTGGAAGTTGGCCAAGTTTGGTGCGGCTGCCCCACGAGCAAGTACATCAGGTTTCAAAAGTCACTCCAAGAGAAAACAACATTTAACACGTCCACGAACCACCGGCCGACCATCGTAATCTCCGCCGGATGGGGGAATCCGTATCTTTGCTCACGTTGTGGCAATGCATCTCACTTGGTGTACTCGTACTTCGGTTTCTATGCTTCGAGGGGCTATCTCGTACTTCATGTTATCTGCAGACACAAGAGACAAGCTATTTTCCCCGAACATTTCAACATTCTTGCTCGGCTCAGCTTGCTGATCACTCACTCTTTTAAGATTTACGTTAGTTGTTTATATGCTTGCTTATACGATTGTATTATTGTTTATATGATTAATTGAATTCGTTCAAGTTGCATAGTTTGGTACCGTTTTCGGAATTGAATGTTGAAATCTGAGCCTATCAATTTTAAAAGTTAAATAACTAAAATCTGCTCAAGTACCCTGCCTAATTGTTTCGGATCAAGTTTATTGGGTAAGTACCATTTTTCGGGGATCTGCTTACTGGTATATTGTTTCGCATACTGATATCTGATCCCAGCTTTAACTTTTTAAATCAGTAATAGATATATCTATTCATAACTGCCAATTTGATTGAAAGTAGTTCAAGTTCACTGGATGGGTACCATTTTTGGGAAATGTTCACTGGTCCATTGTTCGCGACACAAATCACCGATCCAAATGCGGTGAGCTGAAGTCCACAACTGATCCGGCGTCTGGCCCAATCCCAGGTGAATGTCTTCAGGGGGCACTTCTACACACATTAGCCGTATTTTGTCTTCGCCAATTAGCGGGCTTATGCTAACTCCAGCAAGTGTGGCAATAAGTCCACGAGTCGCGGGCCTGAGCGCGGATTTAATTCAATTTAAAAGTGTGTGCAAACATTTATGCAATTGCAAATGAATTTTCTTCTTTCGCCTGCTCCGCTTTGCCCGCAGGCAGTGGGGAAATTGCAATTGGAGGCCGGCTGGGGCGGAGAGGGCGGCTGAGCCTCCGGGTGGGCGTGGCAGAATTGCGAAATCCAGGTGGCAGTGGCTGTCTAATTAGTTGCTGCCTTTCCCTCGGCGCACACGGCGTTTGGGCAATAGCTGGAAATTCGATACCATAATTGCGGGCAGTGCCGCAGCTTCCGTGGAAGTGGAACCGAATACCCCTGGGCCACCAACGGCCAATATCCATTTGTATGTACTGGGAGAGAGCCCATGGCGACCATTGCACAGGCAGAAAAAGTTCAATGAACTATATGTCAGAGTAATTTAAATAATGATCGTCTAGCTATCTGTAGTGTAACAGCTTTAGATATTTAAATATACGTTGTTTTTCATGCGATATAAAAATAAATAGTAATGGAGGTAATTAATTGTGTTTGTGGTAATACATAGTAACTACTTCATTTGCTCAACCTAAATAGCTTTATCCTAATAAAATGATTTTTGCAGAACTTCAATCTGGAGAATTCATGTACAAGTTTATACCAAAAACTGCCCTATTTAAAAACCATTTAATTTAAGAACACGTACTTAGC